GGTTGCCGACATCTGCTGACATCTGGATCCTGGCCGGCTGGAGACTGGGGAGGGTCGTGGCGTGGCGAGAGCGTGTCAGAAGTAGCTGCCCCCCACCCCCCACCCCTCATGAAATAAAGGAACCGTAAAGCAAAAGAGAAAGCGTGCTGGGGGGTGTGGCGAGGAGGTGCTGAGTGCGCCAGCCTCATCCGGGGTACGAAGGGAGAGCTCCCTTCCCAGCCACTCGGCCATGACCTGGGCCTTCCATCCTGTGCCCCTCACCTGTACCACGGGGACAGTGGCAAAGGCCACTGTGCAGGGACGAGGGCGCCGTGCAGGGATGGGCCCTCCAGCAGACACCGCTCTCTCGCTGCTCTAGCTGGGTGCGTGGTCCTCCCAGGGGTGGGGCTGAATGTGAGGGCTCTTGAGCATGCCCCCTGCCACCCAGAGGCTGTCTCTGCGTACCCCATAAACTGCTTCGCACTGGGGCTGGGAGGATGGCGTGCGGACCATTCATCCCCCCAGCAAACATTTACTAATCAGCTGTGATGCGCCAGACAGCACCCACAGAACAGGTACGGACCCTGCCCTGGGGGCTTACAGTCCAGAGAGGGGAGAGACAGGAAGTGATGTCACAGACAACCATTCACGGCCCTGAAGGGAGCGAAGGGGGCGTTCAGTGCTCTGGGCGCGTCTCACAGTGGCCTGGGCATGCCATCTAGGGGCAGGGCCTGTTCCGACAGCAGAGGCCGAGCGTGCAAACAAGCTCTTACTAAGCAAGGGTCTGGCTCATCTTTTCATGTCAGTAGAGCTGACAAAAAGCAATGGCATGGGACCAGCAGTTGCCGTAATGGCTATGTCGCTGGACTCCCATGTAGTTGACAGCGGTTCAAGTCCCAGACCCGGTGGCTTAAACTTACACCAGGCACATGTGCATGCGTGCTTAAGATCCTGAGAGGAGAATGGAGGAGAAGGGATTGTGGCGTGGCCATCCCCCCTGGGGGGTGATTTCTTGCTTTCTGTCTGTTTCTCTCTCTGTCTTTCTGGAGCTCATGCACCCTATAGCAAAAACCTCTCAAAAAAAAAAAAAAAAAAAAAAAAAAAAAAAAAAAAAAAAAAAGCAATGGCATATTATTAGTGAAGCTCAGCAGGAGAGAAGCGGGTGGAAAATACAACCCGAGAGGCCTTTTTCCTAAGACGGGAAACTGTGTTCCACTTTTGCAAGGGGTACTAAAGGGTTAAAGTCATTTTCATTAAAATTTAAATTTCGGCAGGCGCTCGCGCTCCCTTCCCCGTCCTTTGAACGTTTGACTGGCAACCATTTCATATTTCGATCTCGGCAGAACAAATTGAATTAGATGTTGAAACCGAGCTCGGCTCTGTTCACCAAAGCTTGCATGCGAGGCCCGTGTTAATCCTTTCCTAGACGCTGCGGAGCACAGACGGCGGTGCACAGAAGACAAAAACGACCGAGGGGGCGGTGAAAGGCAGGAGGAAGCAGCGGGCAGAGGCCGCTGGAAATTGTCTTCCACCTGACGTGTGGCTCCCAGGCCCTGGAGACAGATCCTTGTCCGGCAGCACCTGGAGGTGCACGGGGAGGCCCTGTTTCTGTCCTCGCTGGGTGCCCGGCCGTGCCTGGCGCACAAGGAATGTCCTGTTTGATGAATGAATAACTGAGGGTGCGGAACAGCTCTGTCAGCCTCCACCCTGGCCTCCTCTCAGCAGTGGTGGTGGCTGTCCTCTATGTGCCAGGTCCTGAGAAGGGGCAGGATGCCTGGTGCTCTCCCAGAGTCAAGATGGTCTCGTGGCCCTCTGGACCCACACCAGGTGCAAGCCAGTGGAGGGGCCAGCTCGCCTTACTGAGGAGGGGGAGGCTGACCTCCAGATGGGCCTGGATTCCACGCCGCACCCTGGATCACCCGGGAGGGGTGCCCAGCCTGGCTCTCAGAACAAACGATCCTGCTAACCAGCCAGGAGTCCCTGCCATGTGGGACCCCAGTCAACAGGGTTGGGGCAGGCAGTGACACTGGGGCAGGGCTCAGGGAGGGCTCCCTGCTTTTTCCCACACCCGTCAGCTCATTGTGGACTGGGCTCTGCTCTGTGCAAGGCACGCCGGGGTAAGTGAGGGGCCAGGGGCAGCAGGCACCTCCTCCAGGCCCCTTCCAGGACACACGGGCCCCTCTCCCACATGACCCAGCTCCCAGCAGGTCTCGGCCCTGCCCTGTTGGACACGTGCCGGGATAGCCCCCCAGCATGGCGGCGTGCTTAGTGATCACGGGAGTAATAATGACTACAGCCACTACCAAGGAGCCCTCGCAGGGCAGGAGACAGTCAGCAAAGTGCTTCCCATCCACAATCGCTACCTATCTCTTTAGAACATATTATCTGCTTCTTAACACAGAGACTCAGAGAGATGCAGGTACTGTTGTTTTCTTTGGAAAGGTTTTTGCAGGAGACGGGACAGGGCTGTGCGTGGAGGTGAGGAGGGCCCTGCAGAGCATTGGCCAGGGCCTGTCTCTGTCAGTGGGAAATGCAATTCAAACAAGACCTCGGAGGTGGAAAAAGGGGGCCAAGTAGGGAAACATGGGGGACAAGTACCCCAAGAGAGGGAAGAGGGGTGCAAGGGCCCTGAGGTGGGGCTCCTGGCTGCTGGTTCGCGTGACGTGGGGGCCACAACAGGGCTAGGTGAGCAGGGCCTTGGCACCACGGTGCAGAGCGCCACTTCGTCCTCTGGCGTGGGGGAGGCCGTGAGGTTAACTGTGGACCGACAGGACCCAGTTCGGGGCTTCAGCCCGATCATGCTGGCTGCACGTGGAGAACAGGTGCTCCTGGGCGGGAGAGGAAGGCGTGAGGGGGCACCTGCTGTGGGGTGAGGGGGGCACCCCAGGCCCCTACGGGAGCAGAACTGACAATTAGCCTACAGGCCGGCCCCACCTTCCCACCAGTGAGCCCCACCCTGGGTAGGGCTGGGGGAGGCAGGAAGAGAGGCCTGGCCTCCTGAGCAGGCCTGGCGGGGCGATGGCAGCCCTCCCTCCCACTTTCTCCTGGGCCACCCACCCCCCTGCTGCACCTCTAACCCCTGGCCTTCGGCTTCGGGCACAAGGAAGGCAGTAAAGCATGAGGTCACAGACCCGAGTCCCTGGGGTCAGGCAGGTCTGACCCATCCCTGCATGCACGTCACACCACGGACCTCGGGCAGGTGTCGGGAGGTCTCAACCTCCCAGGGCTTCATGATAGAGTGGCCAGGGGCATGAATCCACTTTAGAGAAGAGGAGACTAAGGCCCAGGAAGGTTAAGGCCTATGGTAACGCAGGACCAGCGGGTCGTGACCCGGAGCCGGGCTGGTCAGGAAGCAGAGCCTGAGCCAGGGAAGCTTCCAGCAGCACCGTCCCGGTCAGTTATGTTGGCGCCACTGGTGCCATGCCAGGCCCTGGTTTGTGACTTATTTTCGGTGACCACAGGCCACTCTCCTTGACCCCTGTGGGGTGGGAACGCGAGTACACAGCGTATACACCTGAAAGTTCGGTCCTAAGAGGCACCGAATCAGGACAGACAGTGGGAGGCCCCCAGAGCCATGTAGGAGTCCGGTCACCCGAGTCTTAACACGGACCCCCATGCTCAACTTCCACACCCCAGAAGGTCAAGACCATGCGATGTCTGTGGGATACCCCACCACAGAAGTTGGGGGACCAGCCAGCTTGTCTTTCCCCTCGAATTCTCAGAGATGTGAACGCTCGGTAAGGGGGTGCCCACCTTGAGAAATGGGGGGCACACGCAGCTCTGCGGGGCTGCCAGCACCGCACTGGTGCTCGGGTCCCAGGCCGCTCGGAAACCTGGTATAGACGGGAACCTGGTCCCCAGAAGAATGCATGGGCCGAGTCTGAAGCAGAGAGACCCCCGGCCCTCACTTAGCCCCAGCTGGGGCCCTGCGCTATCCCTGGACTGACTGGTTTAATGGCAGCATTGTCACCCCCATTCCACAGAGAGAAAAACTCCAGGGTCCTGCGCAGAGAACAGCCGTGGTGGGCTGAGGTCAAGGCCGGACTGTGAGCCTGCCCCTTCCTCCCCAGGCCCTGCTCTCTGGCTCAGGACCTCCCGTGGGGAGGCTGCGTCTCAGGCTGGGGTGGCTTTGGGACGCTGCTGGCCAGGAAGAGGATCTCGACGCATGTCCCAGGGTCACAGCCTGAGCAGAGAGATCACCACCAGCGACACTGCTCAGCTCCACCAGCCTGGACCAGGTGTTTCCAGGGCTGCTCGGGGCCTCCCTGGATGGGCCATGTGGCGGTCAGGTCCCAAGCTGGGGATTGTCCTTTGGACATATGTTGGGGGGATTCTGGCTTTAACAGGGGACAGAGAGGGAGGCTCCTGGAGCCTGGCTTATGGGCTCAGCACCACGCCTGGTGCTTCCCACGGAGCGTCGCATCTATTCCTCACTAAAACCTTATGGGGCGGGAACCAGCTAGCGAGGAGGAGGCTGGGCCCAGGATGGAGAGGGAACTGGGCCGGGCTCTCCTGCTGGCCTGGAGGAGGGGGCTCATGCCCAGACAGTCTGGAAGTAGAGCTGGCTTCATCCTGGGTTACACTGTCCTGGGGTAGCCATGCACCCTGGGGGGGGCACCATGGGTCTCTGTGCCCCGACCTTCCTACCGGCAGATGGCAGGGCCATGTTCTCAGGGCTGGGGGAGGAGGAGCCCACGGGAGAACTTTTGTGGGAGGGACAACGGTCCTCTCCTGCCACAGGGGACGGACTCCTAACTGCCCCTCGCCTCGGTCCCGCGAGCGCCCTGCACCCGGCTTCATGCAGGTGGGCCGCTGCACATGAGGGGCCGAGTCAAGGGGGAGAAGCCTGCAGCTCAAGGTGCCTGGGGCTCTAGGCTCCGACCAGGCCATCCCATCGTCCCCTCTGACCTTGGGCCAGCAGAGGCTGGCCCGCTCCCGCCCCGCCCCGCCCCCGGCCAGGCGGTAGGGAGCACAGAAGCCAGAGCGGCTGGGCCGGTCCCCAGGGCCCCGGAGCCACGTACCCTCTCGGTGCCAGCTCACAGCTGAAGGGTCTGCTCCTCGCTGTCGTTTTCACTGTCTTCCAGCTGCTCCAGGATCTCGTCCAACACCACAGACCGCTTTTTCTTCGGGGGCTCTGCAGGAGCCCAGATGGCAGCGAGGAGGAAAGAACAGCCGAGAGGGTTGGGGGTGGGAGGGGTGCGGGCGGGCCGGGCCAGGAGAGGAGAGACAAAGGGGACCGAGAGGAGAGACAGAGATGAGAGATGGGGAGAGACCCCGAGGAGGGCCGAGAGAAGGAAAAGGGGAGAGAAACGTAGTAGGTTAGTCTCGGCGTCAGCATGGACCAATCGTCTGTCTCGGAGGACATGTCCCTTTAGGAAGGGAGGGCGGAGGCCTCCTCTGGGAGCTACCTGTTCCCGGCAGGTCAGAGGCCGGCATGAGAGGCTGAGCCTTGGGTTAGCCACTGAGGAGCGGTTCTTACTTTCTTGGAGGCCAGACCCTAAAGCCTAGGAAACAGATGCCATGTAGAAGGTGCTCAGTGTGTGTCAGGTGAATAGACGCCGGGCTCAAGGATTCCACAGCAGGGATGGAGGGCTTTAGAGAGGAGGGGTTATTTAGCTTGGGCTTTGCAGAGTGCAGAGGAGTTCTCTGTGAGATTCGGATGCACAGCATGAACACAAGCACGGGGGGCTCAGCCACATGCCTTCTGGGTTCTAAGCACTAGAGACCGAACACCTACTATGTGCTACAACTCTATGCCTCTCAGCAATCCTATAGGTACTAACTACTACTGTCTCTTACAGGTGAGGGAACTAAGCCATAGCAGGTCAGTCTAAGGTCATCCAGCTAGGATGTGGTGGAAACAGGATTTGAACCCACATCACACAGAAGCCTGTGGTCTTTCCGCTTTTCCTGGAAGTCTCTGGTGCTAGCCAGAGAACAGAAGGGAGGCCAAGGGTGGCAGAAGAAGATCTCTTTCCTCGGGAAGGGAACGGGTCGCTGGGCTGGCCTGTGCTGTCAGTCCCCCCGCTAGTCTCACCACCCCGTAATGAGCAGCCTCACTCGTAGACCAGGCTTGGGTTGGACAGGCAGCGAAAAGAGGCTGTCCCTCTCCTGCTCTCTAATGGCTCAGCCCGGCCTCCTCCAGGAGGCCTTCCAGGTGGGCTCATCGCCTGTTACCTTCTTTCTCCATCTCCCCACCCCTAGCTGGCAGCCCCTGTGGCCATGTCTTTTCCTCCCAGAGTCCTCAGACCCAGCACCGTTCTGGGCCCCAGGTGGAGACCCCGGCCCCCTTCTGTGTAGTCTCGGGTGAGTGCGTTCACCTCTGAGCTGACTTCTCATCTGGTTCCTCCCCAATCAATCCGGACGCTGCCCTCCCACTCCCTCTTAGGACTCCCGTCCCCTAGGGATGCCCCTAAGACACATGCACCAGTCCCCATCTCTCCTCGGGAGGCACCCCTGCAGCTGGCCCTGGCCTCCCTTGCTGGCCCAGCCTGCACTGCCCACCAGGCTGTGGAGCTCGCAGCTCCCACCTGAAAGACTCCCGGTCCTTCCCCTGGAGTACCCACCCCCTCACTGCTGCATCCAGCCTTGCACCCGAGTGGGTGCCTGCGAGGAAGCACGGTGAGCAGGGCCCACTGTGAGGGTGAGGAAGGTGCAGAAGGGGCATGAGGCTGCAGCCCACCTGCTGGGGGCCAGGGGATCATGCCTTCCCCTTTGCTGTGATCCTGAGAAGGGAGAGGGCATGGGCGGGCTGTAGAACTGGGGGCTGGTGGCCCATGGCGCAGACACGGGCTTCCATCCCGCCGTGCCGCTCTCCCGCCAGGCTGTGGGGGCGCACAACGGCTTCTGAGAATGGAATCTGGGCAGGCGACCGGAGCCAGGGCGCAGCAGGGCAGCCATGCAGGGCTGCGGGCCTGCCCCTTGCCGCCCTTGGTCCAGCGTGGCCAGCAGCACGGTGGCCCGTCTTTGCCTGGAGCAATCAGATGGCCTCTCCCCAGCCTGACCCCATCGCTGGGAGGCTGGCGAGGGACTGGTTTGTCCGTGTTCCCTTATGTCGGCATGAGCCCCAAACTGGGTCTAGCTGGAAGCCCTGCTGCCCTCCAGGGCCAGGCTATCTCCTCTGGCTTTTCTCGCAGGGTCTGGTCTTAAATGGCGGCCGGGGAGCCTGATTAAACCTCCACAGAGCACGCGGCTGCTTCACCCATGCCCACCTTCGGCACTGTCTCACCTGGGAAACGCTAAAGCTGCTTATTTTATTTATTTATTTTTAAGAGATTTTTGCCGTAGGGTGTGTGTGCTTGCTGGATAGACAGAGACAGGAAGCGAGAAATCACCCCCCCGGGGGGGGGATGGCCATGCCACAGTCCCTTAAATTCCATTCTCTTGGGATTTTGGGCGGGCACACACACACACACAGCCTGGTGTGACTTTCAAGCCTCCGGATCTGGGACTTGAACTGCGGTTGACTACGTGGGAGTCCAGCGATGTAACCATCATGCTGGCCCCTGAAGCTGTTTATTGGCCACAGCACAGTCCCCATCACTGGCCTCAACTTCCAGCGACTGCTGTCCGTCACCCACTCTGCTCCTGTCACTCAGGCCCCCTGCTGGCTCCTAGCTCCACTCCCACCTCTGGGTTTCCTATCTGGAATCCTTCCCCGAGAAGGCCACTTGGGGCCTCACCTTTCCAGTGGGGCTTCCCGAAACTCCAGGTCTAAAATCGTAGGTCTCTGCGCGTCCTCGCAGTTCCTGTCTCCCCAGGAACTTACCCTACCCAGCACTGCTTCGCTGCTCTACCCTGCCGCCTGTCTCCACCCTTGGAAGGTCAGGTCCAGGGGCAGGACCACGGACAGTGCCGGCCGGACACGTGGCGACACCGGGTGAATCTTGCTGAGGGACTGAAGGACGGAATGGATGGGTGGCAGGGAGAGCAGAGGGCCAGGAGTTTAGGTTGTGGGGGACTCGAGGCCAGAGGCGGTCTCTAAGGACTTCATTCAGTCCCCCACAACAGGGACTGCTGAGCCCGCTCTGGCTTCAGCCAGGCCGTCCACTGAGCGGCTCAGCCCCATCTCAGTGTCCCTGGTCCTGGCGGGAGATGGAGGGGGAACCAGACAAGTGCAATCAAGACAAGATTGGCACTGCTGGGGGAGACATCTGCTCAGGTGCTGGGCTATCAGGGAGGCATCCCGGAGGAGGTGACGGAGTACACAGGCCCAGCTCGGGCACCCTGCACTCTGGCAGGCGGCTGTGGCCTCGTGGCATCTACCACCTGCTGACACCTCTTAGCCTCGGCCTGAGCCCCATGGGTATCAGGCATGCCCGGTCTCTGCCTTGGACCTGGACCTCCCTGGAACACCAACCAGCCCCATCCTGTCCCTCCTTCCTGGGTCGTTTCCCTAGGAATGACCCCAGCTCTGAAGACTGTCTCTCTCCCCCACCCCCGGGATATTCAACAGTGGGAGCCGGAGACCGCGAGGCTGCGTGGGGCACAATCAGCTCACTTTTTCAACACCCAGAGAATGGAGGAGAGCCGTGCACCAGTCCTGGCCCTGCCCTCCCTGGTGGTGGGACCTTGGGCGGGTCTTCCACCTCACCAGGCCCCATACCTACTGCCACTCCCCCGGGAGCCGAGGGAGGCGGACGTGCTCGCTACACTGCAGGCGTGCTCAGGCGTGTGACAGGTCACTGCTGTCCCCGCACCCCTCTCCCCTCTGGCACTAACTGCATTTGAGTGAGTTTCCACATCCCCTTGTTTTTGAGCAAGAGACAAAGAGAGGGAGAGACGAGGAAGCACTTACCCCCCGGGCGGGGATGGCCACACCATCATCCATCCATCCATCTCCACTCTCCTCTCGAGATTTTGGGCATGCGTAGCACACATACATCCGGCACTGGGTCTGGGACTTGAACCGCGAGGGTGGCCACGTGGAACCCAGAGCCTTAACCTCTAAGCCACTGCTAGCCATGCACACGTCCTTTTTAAACTCTGACTTTGCAGTAACATGAGCACCTGGAATGCTGCAGAGGGCATACTGCCAAAGGGAGGCCTGCCCTCCACACCGCGGCAGGCTCGGGGAGGCCCCCAGGGCACGATGGCCCGGCAGCGCCCTGAGGCAGGTCCCCAGCACCCAGCACGGCGTCTAACCTGACCGGGGGCTGGCCTGAGAGGGCGGCCTCCATGCACCAAACCGCCCTCCCAGTCTTTCAGGAGCTCAGGGCCTGCCCGCTCCTCACGGGTCTCTGCCACCACTGTGTCCCCAGCCAGCACTGGCCTCGGTGTTGGGTGACACCTGCACCTGTCTTGTTGGACGTTGAGCCGCAGGGCCCAGCACTTCGTAGGTGCTTGGGAATCATTTCCTGAACGTACAATCAATGACTTCACGGAGGGATGAATGCCAGGGCCCCAATGTGGGCCATTTTCCTTTTTTTTTTGAGAGAGATTTTTGCTATAGGGCACATGTGCTTGCCGGAGAGACAGAGAGATAGAGAGAGAGAAATCAACCCCTAGGGTGGATGGCCACACTGCAACCAACCCTTTTCCTCCATTTTCCTCTCGGGATTTTGGGCACACACACACATGTGCCTGGCATGAGTTTTAAACCGCTAGGTCTGGGACTTGAACCACAGTTGACTATGTGGGAGTCCAGTGATGTAACCGCTATGCCATCTGCTGACCCCCAAGGGGGCCATTTAAAAAAATAAAAGCGCCTCATGGGGATAAGGTGATGTCTTCCTTGACAGACTCCCTCCACTCAGAATGCAGCCTCCAGCACCGGGAGTCCCCTAATGCCCCACGCAGATCAGCTTGCTGGGGGCGTCCTAACAGTGGGGTGAGGATGTGGTCAGGGGGCCACAGAGAGGCAGAGCTGGGAGAGTGCTGTCTGGCTGGGTAAACTGAGGCCCGAGGGTGGGTGGGCAGGGCGGGAGGAGCCCTGCTGAGGCCTGCGGGTGCCTCTGAGGAGGTGGGCGTCAGAACCCTTTCACAGGCGGGAAAATGGACGTGCAGAGAGAAGCACCCACATGGCAGCCCTCGGATTCTGCCACGGCCTGTCCCAGCTGAGCTAACCAGGTGCCTCCCGAGGGAACCTGCCTGGAGGAGCCATGACCAGAGTCACCCAGGCGCGTGGACAGAGCC